CAAAAGCCCCTACAATAGCCCTATATGGGTAGTCCCAAAAAAACCAAAGCCAAACGGGGAAAAACAATACCGATTGGTGATAGATTTCAAACGCCTCAACGCAGTCACCATCTTCGACACCTACCCCATCCCCGATTAACATCTACCTTGTCCAGTCTGGGGGAGGCAAAACTATTTACCACCCTTGACTTAACGTCCGGGTTCCACCAAATTCACATGAAGGAATCCGACATACCCAAAACGGCATTTTCTACCCTGAACGGGAAATATGAGTTTCTGCGACTGCCATTCGGGTTGAAAAACGCCCCGGCCGTTTTCCAAAGAATGATCGACGACGTATTACGAGAGCACATCGGTAAGATTTGCTACGTATACATCGACGATATTATTGTATTTAGTAAAGACTACGAGTCCCACTGGCGCAACCTTCGCGCTGTATTTGAAAAATTAAGGCAGGCCAAGTTACAAGTGAACCTGGAAAAGACACAATTTTTGCGCACCCAGGTTGAATTTCTGGGCTATGTGGTAACGGCGGATGGGATCCCCGCAGACGAAAAGAAGGTCAGAGCCATAAAAGAAATGCCTCCACCCACGAATTTGAAGGAACTTAAGAGTTTCCTAGGGATGACCTCTTATTATAGGAAATTTATCTGCGACTACGCTAAAGTCGCGAAACCTCTGACGAACCTCACGAGAGGAGAACATGCCCAGGTCAAGGCATCTCAATCCAAGAATATTGCAATTTCACTTGAAGTAGAGGGCGAGAAAGCCTTCGATGACTTGAAAACCATCCTCGCCTCTTCAGAAGTTTTGGCATTCCCAGACTTTAGTAAACCTTTCCATTTAACGACCGATGCTTCCAATTATGCCATAGGAGCCGTTCTCTCTCAAATCGACAACGGGAAAGACCGCCCAATCGCCTACATTTCGCGGTCTCTGAATAAAACAGAGGAGAGCTACGCAGTAAACGAGAAGGAAATGCTAGCGATTGTGTGGGCCCTTGATAATTTAAGATCATACCTCTATGGCGCCGCGTCAATTAAGGTTTATACCGACCACCAACCCCTAACCTTCTCATTAGGCAATCGAAACTATAATGCTAAGCTGAAACGCTGGAAAGCGCGCATAGAAGAATACAACTGCGAGCTTATTTACAAGCCGGGCAAATCCAATGTGGTTGCTGACGCTCTTTCCCGCATCACCTCGAACGTAAACTACCTCAATGCCGACGCAGCCTCAACTTCGACAACGGACTCCGTTGCTACCGTCCACAGTGCGCTTCAAGACGCATCGGACTTAATCCCACACGTGGAAGCCCATATTAACGTGTTTAGGAACCAACTTGTCTTTGACCCAGATAGGTTAGAATATTCTCGCGAGACCCCACATACGGGATACGTACGTCACTTGATCCCCATTGATAGCACACTAGACTTGCTACCCTGTTTATCGAAATACTTGAAACCATTAATTATCAATGGCATAAAAATTCCTGAGAGCTACTTACAATCTCTGCAAGAGCGCTGCAGGTAGAACCTCCCGGGGTACAAACTTCGCATTACGCAAAGACTGGTAACCGATGTAGCGGGTGAAGAAGACGCGATTAGAATAATAAACACAGAGCATACTAGAGCCCACAGGAATCCGAAAGAGATGAAGTTACAGATCTTGGAAAAATTTTATTTCCCCAGAATGGCCAGCCGCATTAGGTCGTTGGTCTCTTCCTGCCGGACCTGTAAAATGTTTAAATATGACAGACACCCGGCCAAGCCGGAATTGCAATTAACCCCTATCCCTAATTACCCATGCGAAATCCTGCACATTTACCTTTTTACGATTGAGAGTCTCAAATTCCTGAGTTGTATAGATAAATTTTCAAAATTTGCCAAACTTTTTCCGATCGAATCAAAGTCGGCAGTCCATCTCCGCGAGAAGCTGACCGAAGTCCTGCACTATTTCACAGCACCGAAAACGATAGTTTCGGACAATGAAAGGGGTCTACTCTGCCCCACAGTGCTCAATTATTTACAATCTCTCGGTATAACCGTTTATTACACACCTTCTCAGAAGAGTGAAGTAAACGGCCAGGTTGAGAGATTCCACTCAACATTTCTCGAGATATACCGGTGTCTGAAAAACGACAACCGTAACATGAAGGTAATCGAATTGGTTTTTATTGCCGTGGACAGATATAACAACTCTATCCATTCGGTGACGAACCGCAAACCAGTCGATATCTTCCTAAATAGGACTTCCAGGATAAATTATCAGGGACTCAACAATTTTAAAGAGCAGACGCAGGAAGACATAAGGGGGTTACTCCTACACAAGCAAAAAATGTCAACCGATAGGCTTAATAAACACAGAAATAGGCCGACACAGTACAACCAGGGGGACACTGTTTATGTCTCCAACAGGCAGATTAAGAGCAAGGATAAAAATCGATTCAAACCAGAGGAGGTGGAAGTTGACGGTAGGGTCACGGTCAAGACAAAATCAGGGAAAGTCTTCCATAAATCCCATATAAAAAGTTAAAGACCGCTTCGCTGAAAATGTTTCACAGACCCTTTATAAGAACAAATATAGAAAAAAATAATAAAAAAAAATACAAGAATCAAGAATAAATAACAAAATTAGTAAAATATTAAAACGCCAGCCAAACTGAAATATATTAAAGGCAAAAAACCCTATACTTAGATTGAAAAAATAATTAATTCAGTAATAACAATTAACAAAAATATAAACACTACGTTAAGATTAAATACTAAAAAACAAAATTGAGTAACGTCTCTCCCCCAAGTATGGCGATTATTCAAGTCGCGACTGCTCTCCATATTTTCAAATATGATGCACCGGTTGTCCCCTTGCAACAAGGTACCGTCTGGAGGACCAATGGCGTCTTCAAACTGGCTCACGTCATCAATCTAGGCCGCATGCAGCAACTCATCGACCAAGTAGCAAACGAGGCTATGATAATCACCGATCAACATATTGGCGCCTTGGTTGGCCACTATCTGCAACACGCTTCGGAAGGAATCTCGCGCATGGATAGCGCACCAACACGGAGACAACGCTCAATCGATTGGCTAGGATCAGCCTGTAAGTGGGTCGCGGGATCACCGGACAAATCGGATTGGAATGCCATCTTGAAAGAGGAGGACAGCTTGGCAAGGAACAACAACCAGCAGTTTCGAATCAATACTAAGCTGTTTGACTCAACGCACGAATCGCTCCAGAAGCTGAACGATGTTATCGGGAGAGTCAACGCAATAGACGGGGACTTCCACGTGACGACGGCCGTTCTCCACAAGGCGATTATAATAGCGGACCAGGTCAACGAGATACTGAGAGCCTGCCAACTAGGAAAGACTGGAGTGGTCAACACGAATCTCTTGGATCACGACGAAATCAGCATGATATTGGCAGAGGTGGACAGCCTTCCTTATCAAAACGTCGTGGAGGCAGTGGAATTTTCCAGACCCACAATCCTTACAAACGGGACTACCCTTTTGTACATCCTAGCGATGCCCAAGGTAGTGGACAGGAAGTACCGATTGATGAGGATCTACCCAACGACATCCGACGGTAAACAAGTTGTGCTAAAATATACCACACTGACAGCCTGGAAACATACGTCCTTCTCGGAAATTGTGTATCCATTGGTAACACAACAGTCTGCCGAGAAAAGGACCTGCTTAAATTGGAGGAAGACAGTTGCATACCCAGACTGTTGAAAGGAGGCCAAGCCGAATGCGACTTCTTGAGGACCAACCAGGAAACAGTGGAGCTTGTCGATGACGGCACAATTTTTTTTGACAAACTTCAATGGAACAGTATCCACTCCGGTCAAGAATCACCACTTAGAAGGCTCATACGTCGTGCAGTTTGACAACGAAACGATCACAATCGGCGACCGGAACTACAGCAGCTATTCGTCAACACACCTGATGGCAATGCCAGCCGTGCTAACCCAGATAAAAACTACGGGTTATGAGCTATCACTGAAGTATGTCCACGAATTCAGCATGGAGAACCTGAAAAAATTATCAGTCATGTCCAATGAGATTTTGATATCCTCCTCAGTGGAACTAGTTATAGCTCTCTCCATCATGACAGCGGTGTACCTCGTGTGGAAGAAGATAACGTCGACCAAAGGAATCCCTGAGCTGCGGGATCCGCTTGCGAACCTGGAAACGCAGGGCACCCTGGAGCCCGCAACAAAGGCCTAATAATCTGTGGGACACAGATCTTGTGGGTGGGAGGAGTTAACACCGGCCAAACGCCCCCTTCCCTTCACCCCCTCTCGGCCACCCAGCAACACCAAAACATTCGAGTGGCTGCAGCCGCTAAGTTATGGTACCAGCAGCGATGGAGCAGCAGCGGGCTGGCCGGCCGGCTTCACCTTCCCCCCGCCGCGATGCCGACGCAGCGCGGAAACATGCGCCGGCCGGGCGCTGACCTAACTGCCCCCCGCACCCCGTGCCAAGTCAGCACAACGACATCCGCTGGCCTGGCTCGGGAACGCTGACCGTTCGCCGTGCAAGTGGAGCACGGTGAGAACTGCAAGGTCGGCAAAACTTCAGCCGGCCGCTGACGCTGACGCCGACGTCGACGCCGGGACCGGACTCACGGGGCTCTAGCAGGTGTCGACGCAGAAGACTGGGGGCAGAGCCAATTGGACCGGCAAACCAAGACGACTTATCAACTAAGATTTATTAAATAAAGAATTATTATAACGAACTCTAAAGGCCGACGCTATTCATTGGGAGGAGCACTAACACACATAAAGGGCAACTCTACCGATCGTGAAGAACGAGCTACGCTTGGGACTGCACGAGCACTCCGGAATGTCTAGGTATTGAGTCGGTCCTTCCCGGGGACATGCGAGGCCCCTCGGGAAGGACTTAACTTTTATTTTACAGTTATCCAGTAAATAATTTAGTGATAATGTGTCTATTTTGTAAATGAAGTTGAATTTTTACTCTAAGTAATAAACTATCTTATTTTAAATATTTATTAACTAGATTTCGGTCTCCAAACTAATTTTAAGGATACATTGATAGAAAAATTTGCAATCAAACCAATAACAGCTATAAATCATTCTGGAACCTCCAGTCAACTGTTTCGAAAAATATCTATATTGCATTTTTTGAAACAGGTAACAGCATTATCTTAATATATATCCTCTTCCATCGAAAAGTCCGAGGTTTCTCCAGTATAAAGAGAACTGAAATATAGTAATTCATAACATATTTTATAGGCAAGAACAAATTATACATACTTTACAGCACGACTTGTAAAAAATACAATCCGTTTTAATTTCTTGTTGTAAAAGAAATAATTAAATGACCACAAACAGCCTGGTTCTCCAAATGGATCGCAACTAAGATCTGGATTATAACTGTATATGTCACATTCTGACAAGATCACTTCGTCATCAACAGCAGACCATAATGGTTGTCGAATAACTTGATATTGATCTCCCGCTAATGCCGATAAATTTGAATGAATTGAATTCATAACCCACTGTAATGATGGCTCTTTGCTAAATTCATGAGACTTTGGAAAATTTTAGAATCTACGAACACATGTATATAATATTAATTTTTTACCTTAGCTTCAGAAAAATCGTAATCTGGCTCAAATGAAGCGTTTAAAGTTGCAATTAAATAAAACAAAGTCTTTCTGGAAATTGTATCACAAATAGTAATGCCTTCATCTCCAGACTGACTGTTGTTTCGCCGAAAGTTAGGCGAAAAGTCAGACAAAGTTTGAGGTGGTGATAACGCCTGAAGGTCATGCCCATGAGTATCGGCTGTAAATCGTTTATACAGTACCTTTTCAGCTGCAACCATTTTGCTAGAAAATGAATAATTTTAAATACATTTTGATTAATTTTAAGGTACATACCATGAATAGCTTTCTATGCGACCAAAGATCGTGACACCACTTGTTTGTATAGAAAGCGCATTGTTAATGGCCTCAAAACGTGAACTCTCCAGTAGCTTCATGATTTGAGATGCAAGGTAACAGGAATATACTCAGGTTGGACGACAGCAATAAGTTCGTTTGAAATTTCAAGCCAGCTAATGTTTACGTAAAGGTGTGCCTTATTAAATTCTGATGAGCTTCAATAATGGTTGCTTGAAGTATTTTCATTTCAAGCATAGAAACAAACATTTGATGAAATTTATCTTCTCTGAGCATGGTTCTCTGGATTCCAATCTAATTGTTCTTCCGATTTTTGAATGAACAGCCTTCTTCGCTTGTTAATACCTTTAACTTTAAGTCAGCATAAAATGAACAATGCTTTGTAGAAATGTACATTCAATGTTAAGTTTAATTAGGTTTCTTAATTTACATATTTAATTTTCATAAATGTTAACATACATATGTATTTATAGATATTCAATGTTTCACACTAGTTTTTCTACACATATGTACACGTAGTTGAAGAATCAACGCTGACAATTTCGTTGTTTTAAACCGTTAAGGAGAAAATGTTGACCTATATAGACATAATTATGCATATAATGTACATAGCTGATCCACTGTATGTGTATGTTTATTTAGAACATATATAAGTAACAACATGTTTACGTAATTTTTTCTAAGAGTGAATGCTTTGAAAATTAACTAATACATTTACATTTTCATGACATCAACCTAAAAAACTAATATTTCAAAACATTTTTTAATTGAAATACCACTGAACTACTGTATTTCCTGACTTCTTCAAGTTCCAATTCCATTAGTAACGGTTCTCAAAATATTTGAACGTATAGAATGAAACGTAATTTGCACACCTAAGCCCTGCATATGTACACTAGCAAGAAGTTGTGGTCTTATGGGATATTTCCACTTACACCCCAACTAATTTTGTAAAGCAAATCCCAAAGCAGCTCGACACAAAAATGTGTGACTGCCAAAGTCCCTGACCTCCCGAACCACAACTATATGCTTTGGGGAACGTTCCTTATTGATGCTTCGAGTTTGCGCTTATTTATCGTTTTAAAGGCAGTTTACAGTATGGGTATTTTTTACAAAGGTTAAGCATTACTAGAGGTGGGCAAAAGTATGTCTTGGTTGGGTCTTTGGTATTTGTTTTTTCCGTATATTTGGTATTTTATTGACATGTCTCCGATTCATTATAATGCCACTGTACACAGCCGCTTAAAATGGCAACAACCACATAGAGAACCGCTGAAGCGAAAAGCTGATCGGCATAAGCGAACCGTACCCGAAGGGAGAGGACCTTCAAATTCTGTTATTCCAAAAAAATGCAAAGCAATTGAGGACCAGCAGTGACGCCACAAGAATTTTCGCAAGTAAGAATCGTTTAAACCCTTTAAGTTTTTATAAGATCTTCCTGGACCTGGACCATTTCAGGTGCCAGGTCTTTCCAGGGACAGAACCTGGAGAATGGTTATTTTCTTCAAATAATATATTTAAGATGAGATCAATTGCTAAGCTCCAACCCGTTGGTTGGAACAACATCCTTGGTCCTGCACTAACAATAATTTCCTTACAAAAATGTCCTTATATAAAATAATGATACTATGATATTATGTTTAAGGAAGAGATTAAATTGTACATTCATATTATACTATATAGAAAACCATTTTGATGTGAAATGGCGGTGAACAATGTGTGAAATATTTTTACACTGATATTTCCAGTCTATAAATTTGATATTTTCGAGAATATCAATTTGATCTTTTTAAACATTTTGAACATTCCAATTGAAATTTTCGTTCAACAAAAGGATCATTTTTATATACATTTTTTCATATAAAAAAAATTGACATTTACAATTGTTATTTTTATGCTTATATATATATATGTATACCCACCAGATAAAATTAAATTATTTTGTTTGTTTTGCAGTAATTTAATTCTAGTCATTTCACATTTTTCAGAATTTGTATAAATACATTCATATGAATAGACGGGCCTGCAAAGAAAAAAGGTAACACAAATAATTGTGGACATGACTAAAGCCTAGTACTCAGATCGGCTAAGAGTTTCACTAGTCGAAAAATCGTATTTTTTGTATTGTGACCGAAGTTTTCAAAGTTCACCCGCAATGCATGTGGCATGGTCTTACTGTCAAACAGCTGGGCTTGTTCCCAAACAGAAAACAAATCAAATCTAGCAATTTAAAAAAGAAGAGTCTGCTGGTGCACAAAGAAATAAAAAAAAAAATATATGAAATGTTCAACGAATGCTTTTATATATGTAAATTATAAGTTTACGGCTTTCTTTCTCGTCCCACGGATGCTTCGCCATCTTTCCCGCGTCATCTGTAGTCCAGCTCCGAGTCCCAATAGGCATATTGATTCTTTAGGATGTGGGAGCCGAATTGGGAACGAGGTTGTTCCGCCTGATGCTGCATGAAGTCGCCCAGCATCCTAGTAATGGCTGATGATGGCTCCTCCAGCTGCCCCTTTGCGGGCGACCTTATTTCCCCCTCCCTATAGTAGCCGGCGCGTCGTCCATCTCCGCTTTAGCTGCAAGTAGCTAATGGAGGTGGAGTCCGGTGGTTCCTCAATGGAGAGCTGGCCGGAGATCGAGCGATTTCCCATTGGGATTATCTAGTGGATACCCTCCAGCACTTTAACTATTGTGCGGATTTGCCCCGCTTTGGTATTGCTTCCTGTCGGTCAAGTCCCACAAGACCTCCTTAGGCATTTTTTTTTCCATTTTTAATTTTTATATTTCCCCCCGCTTCTGCACGAACACCGCCAATGATTAAATTTCTTATTCTTTGGGCCGCGGCTAACGGCGTTCATCGAACTTCTCTTGCGAAATCTGGTATTTTTTCAGGTATTTTCTTAGCTTATCTGAGCACCGCGCTGAAAAACAGACCCGACGAAAAACGTTAGCCGCGTATTTGCCTCTCGCTCACTCCTATGCTTAGCTCGCGGTTTTCGTCGATGTGAGTACTAGGCTTAAACGACAAAAGAGTACACAAGTTACGAGTTTAACAAAGCTGTTTACACTAAGACAGATAACGATAGGCACAAAATCGATACACGACTATCGACGAATCGTGAGTCCAGGGATCGGGCAGCTGAGTCCAATTATGGAACTGGTTCCTTAAACTGGATAACTCCAAATGAACCGAAGATTAAATCCGACAAATTTGAGTGGTTTTTGGCGAAGAGAAGCTTGCAAAAGTGGATCAAGCAAGGGAATTGAAGGGCGAAAATAAGTGGTCGCGTACAGTTCAGTTGGTAAGAAAAATAGTATTAAAAGAAGTCAAGTTCCTGCCCAAATATTCCGTGAGGGATAAGCCTGTGTTGAACTAATAAGCTTTTTTATTAGTTGTTGCTAAATTAAAATACGAATTTCAGGTTGCTTTAGGCTTGTTAACAATTTATTAGCGAGAGAGAGTACAGCAGGCGAGACGAGAATGCGTTTTATGTCGAGATCAGAATTCGTACTGATTTACAAAGGGACAGCCAGCCGAAAGCTGGGCCGAAAAATGCAAGTATACAAAAGACGAGAGAGCTAGATAAAGAGAGCTACCTTTCGCGATGCCATTAATATAAGAGATCGAATTAAGAAGTTAGTTGGCTGCTGCGGCTGCGTGACCCGACATACTCCCCCCGTTGGAAGCCTGGGCTTCAACATTATCCTTAAGGGGTAGCAGACACAGCTTGTTTACTGCTCGCTTTGTCACTCCTGATGCTGTCTTCAGAACGGCAACTCGAGCAACCCCATCTCCACCGAAGAGAAGCTCGATCACTCTGGCGAGGGGCCACTTCATGGGAGGCAAGTTTTCGTCCTTAACCAGAACTAAGTCATCGACAACCAGGCCAGGTTTTGGGGTGCGCCACTTGGAGCGCTGTTGTAGCAATGTTAGGTATTCTTCCTTCCATCGTGACCAAAAGATCTGCTGCAAGTAAGCCACGCGTTGCCATCCATCCAAGCGATTGAAGTTAAGACTGGTCACATCCGGCTCGACGAAAGAAGAAGGCGGACCACCATTCAAAAAATGTGCTGGGGTTAATACATCCAGATCAGCTGGGTTTTCTGAAATCGAGACTAATGGTCGAGAATTAACAACCGCCGAACCAGGTTCCGCAACTCCTCAAAGGCTAAAACAGCAGTGCCAACAGCGCGGTAGAAATGATGCTTAGCGATCTTTACAGCCGCTTCCCAAAGACCGCCAAAGTGTGGCGACCTAGGAGGAATGAAACACCAATCAATAGCCTCAGCTAGGCAAAAGTCCAATGTAGCTCTCTGATGATCACTGCTGAGGAAAAGACGCCTTAGTTCGAGCAGCTCATTGCGAGCTCCAACAAAGTTGGTTGCATTATCAGACCAAATCTGCCGCGGCCTTCTTCTAGTGCATATAAATCGTTTGAGGCCATGTAGAAACGATACCGTAGAGAGATCCTTGACCAACTCCAGATGAATAGCCTCCGTGGCGAAGCAAATGAAGACACAAACGTAGCATTTTACTGGAGGCTTGCTTCGCACCTCTGACTTGTAGAGGAATGGCCCGCAAAAGTCAATGCCAGTGACTTCGAATGCATGAGATCCATCAAGTCGTTCCTTTGGAAGATCCGCCATTATATGCTCCACTACTCGAGGCTTCATTCGAAAGCATCTAATGCAGTTGTTTACCGCCTTCATTACCGTCTTTCTCCCCCCAATAGGCCAATATTGGGATCGAATTATGCCAAGTAATGCCCGTGGCCCAGTGTGCAGATTGCGTTCATGAAAGTGAGTAATAATGGCAATAGTGACCGAATGACTCCGTGGTAATATAATTGGATGACGCCCATTAAAATCCAGAGAAGAATTCTTCAGCCGGCCATCCACTCTAAGAGGCCCAAACTGGTCAATGAATGGCGAAAGAGATGCGAGCGAGCTGGAGGAGTGCACCATTCCCTTTGACTGCAATGATTTGATGTCATCCCATAAATGTGAGCGCTGGACAAGACGAAGCAACAGCAACAGAACAACAACTCCATCCAAACCAGCCGACACATTGGAGCACCACTTTCTAAGCTTAAATTTTCCCTTGGCTAGAAGTTTTGATGCCTGATCCATAATGATGACTGCCTCTTCCTTGGACTTGGCTCCAGATATCAAATCATCCACATAAAAATCGCGACGAATGACCTCAGCCCCGAGCGGAAACGCTGTATGCTCGTCTGCTGCCAACTGATGCATAGCTCGCACAGCCAGAAATGATGCTGGCTTCGTGCCATAAGTAACGGTGTCTAGCTTAAACACCCGCAATTGATCCTGGGGGGAGTCCCTCCACAAAATGCATTGCAAATGGCTGTCCTCAGGCTGAACCCTAACACAACGGTACATTTTGCAAATGTCTCCTGTGATTGCTACTGGGTGTGAACGAAACCGTAGAAGAATCTGGAACAGCTTAGGCTGAATAACCGGGCCTGCCATAAGAACATCGTTGAGAGAATAGCCTGAGGAACTGGCCGCCGATCCATCAAAAACTACGCGAAGCTTTGTAGTGGAGCTATCTTCCTTTATGACGCAATGATGAGACAAGAAATATCGGCACAACCCGATGTCAGCGGCAGAAACTGATGACATATGTCCTAGATCGAGATATTCTTTTATGAATGCTGCATATTGAGCCTTCAAAGATGGCTGACGATTCAACTTTCTCTCTAGGGACAAAAATCTTCGATAAGCTTGCTGGTAGGACTCTCCCAAAAGATCTAGATTAAACTTGGCAGGCAGCCGAACAGAATAATCACCAGCTGGCAAACGATTGACGTGTCTTACGAAATG